AAATTAGATCAGAACATGGAATCCATAATAACATTCTATAAACAAGATATACAGTATTATGGTAAATTAGATCAGAACATGGCATCCATAATAACATTCTATAAACAAGATATACAGTATTATGGTAAATTAGATCAGAACACAGCAGCAATAATAACATTATATAAACAAGAATTTATTAAATCATAATATACTATGGATAAGAAATACATTATTAGGTTAAATTAGCTCATAATACTATATACAAGAGATATATTATTAGGTTAAATTAGCTCATAATACTATATACAAGAGATATATTATTAGGTTAAATTAGCTCATAATACTATATACAAGAGATATATTATTTTAAATTACACCAGAACATTCTACAGACAAGATAATAAGTTAAATTAGATCAGAACATAACACAGACAAGATATTAAGTTAAATTAGATCAGAACATAACACAGACAAGATATTAAGTTAAATTAGACCAGAACATAACATAGACAAGATAATAAGTTAAATTTGATCAGAACATAACACAGACAAGATATTAAGTTAAATTAGATTGGAACATAACATAGACAAGTTAAATTTGATCAGAACATAACACAGACAAGATATTAAGTTAAATTAGATCAGAACATAACACAGACAAGATATTAAGTTAAATTAGATCAGAACATAACATAGACAAGATATTAAGTTAAATTAGATCAGAACATAACATAGATAAGATTTTAAGTTAAATTAGATCAGAACATAACAGACAATATATATCATTACACTAACATAGATCAGAAAATATTGGTAGACAAATGATGTATTATTAGGTTAAATTAGATCAGAACATACTACAACAACAGATACATTATTAGGTTGTATTAGATCAGGACATCATAAACAAGAGATACATTACAAGTTTAAATGAAGGCTTTACTCAACATAGACTATCATAATAGTTAGAAGCTCCTGTGGAACCAAAGACTACCAAAGAATCTACAAAACTAATATAATACATGACTCTCTATATTCAAATTAATACGCTACACATTAACAAACAATTGTTCCACAAGGTTGACATACTAAACATTTCAAACAGTGGTTATGTAATGTTAATATACCACAAAGTAGTACTGGAGAAAAAATGTTGACTATAACTGTGAATCAAATATGTGTATCTACACAACATGTCTGTTATATGCAAAAAATCAAGTATATGTACTCAAGGTGTGTTTGTGAACTGAAGAGATCGGTCTAACTCAGGCTCCGACATGTCGGATTACAAGGTGATGTTCATATGAAGAATAAAAATACTTTTGTCTATTGTAAAGTTTGAATAATGCATTTTCAAAACCTCTTGGGGCTCCAGAATGCATATCTACAGTATAGGATAAAATGAACAGTTGATGACTCTGACATCAAATATATAATACCATGCTGAATGGCACTATGTAAATGATCATTGCTTGCATACTTTAACCCCCCCCCCCCACCTTTGCAAATAAAGTTTATGTACTACACATTATCTCACAATATACAACACCCCAGTCACCTTTAAGACTACTGCCAAATTTTTAGGTATCACATTAAATTCATGCCTATCATGGACCACTCACTATAACAACATCCTCAAAAAGATCCAACAGCACCAGGTTGGCACTCCTTCATCAAAACAGGGATATAAACAAAGGATGCAATAGCCACTCCATCATCAAAATCTATAAAACTTGCATCAGACCTCTCCACAAATACAGATGCCCATTACATGTAATATGCCCAACATAGTATATAAAAAGATCCAAC